CCCCAAAACCCCAAAACCCCAAAACCCCAAAACCCCAAAACCCCAAAACCCCTGAAAACTTTCGAAAAATTGAGTTGGAAACCAATAGTTAATTTGAAATATTTTTATCCCCTTCTATAGTAAGCATCTAATCTTTGGTCTTCATGCATCTGACCACCTTGCCAACTGCCTTGCATACCTGCTGGCCAGGTTGGGACTCCTGCTGAGACATGGGGAGCTGGCACATCTGTTCTGTATTTAGCTTGATGAGTTGTTATCCAAGATGTGTCTCCTTTCTGAGAGATTCCATCATCTCCTCCGAACATTCTTCTGTGATGGTCAGATAGCCATTGACTATGACTATCAATTTTTGAGATTTTACACTTAGATCCAGCATATGGCATTTCTTCATAGTTATTCTTATTGTCAAGGTTCCAAACTCCATTCATTAGCAAATCAAAATGAACATCATTCTCGATTTGAGCAGATACATAAGTGTAATAATCAGTGAATTCAGTTCTTGTAACTTTAGCACTTGAGTCATAATCATGAAGAACATTATGATAGACCTCAAATGTATCCTTGAACTCATTGAGAGCACCTTCAGGATCATTCTTTCCGCTGGCCACATCAGGGTGACGGTAAGCATCAAATACTGAGAACATTTCAGCAAGGTCAATGCTTCCTTCATCATGAGGGTCTAGTTTGTCAAATGCTCTTTCCACCAACTGAAGCCTATATTTATTCAATGCGCCTGCTATTGATTGCAAAAACTCGTTGTATTCAATTTTTCCATTCATGTCTGCATCGAAGGAGTTAAAGAGGTTGTCAAGATCTTTTGGATGGATGTAGATCTCATAGTCTTCGACTGCCTTTTTGAACTCATATTTATCAAGATATCCGCTCTGATCAGTGTCAAAAAGTTTGAATTGTTTCAATAAACCAACTAGTCCTCTTCCTCCTCTATTGTTGAGCTCCTCCTTAAATCTTTCAACATATAGGATCTGACTCTTAGTAGCTGTTTTATGAGAGTACTGATTCTTGTCATAATACTCAGGCTCATAGCCATAGTTGTATGTAATAGGAGGATCTGGCTGCACTTGAGATTCAACTTCCGACTCTTCAGTACCTTCGTAGTTAGGGTCATCTAGAACTTTGTTCAAAATCTCTAACGACTCCTTGTTGATATAATCAGGATTCATCACACTCTTCCTTGCTGCTGAAGTAGATGGTCTATAAAAATGAGTGGCGGTCGCAAGAGGATAATCCTGACTGTTCATCCCACTCCTTAAGATGTGATGAGAAGAGTGCTTATCATCCAGTACTCATGATTTACTAGGAGAGTATGCTGTCACAGCAGTTCTTGGAGGCTGATAAGTAGCTGTCGCTGCTGAATAAACAGATTTAGAGAACGCTCTATAGTCTATTTCTCCTGCTTCGTTAATTCCAGTGAGCTCTGGAAACACTTGTCTAACCTCCTCTTTGTCCTTAATGATTCCAATCTTTTCAATTGTTCTGTAGAAATTGTCATAACTAAGAGTTCCGCTGTTATAGATATCAAAGAACTTAAACTGCTTGATTAGGAAGCTCTCCTCTGACTGAGAGGAAGGTGACTTGATGCTGACCTTTGATTTCAGCTCAGTAATAAATCTTTCAACTGTTGATGCCATATTGATATATAATTTAAATCAATATTTTTGATAAAGTAAGGGGTTTTGGGGTTTTGGGGTTTTGGGGTTTTGGGG